TCAAATGTATAACTATTTCTTAGTTATTCTTTCGTTTTTGGAAACTTATTTGGTATTCTACCTCTTGCTGTATTTACTGGTATATTTTGAGCCTTTTGTCAGAAAGTACTCTGACTCGGAGTAGGGTGGGCGTAAAATTAATTAAACGTGTCTACGTTTTTACAATAGTATATGTTTCCGCGTTATCTGAGCGTCGTTCGCAAAAGTATGCTTCGAGGGTCTCTGGAAGAGTGAGGACGCGTCGTCCTGCCGATCCCTGCCCACCCCTACGCGAACAGGCCCAGGGAAAGACCCAAAGGGGCGGAGTCACCCCCACCGAGCGCGCTGGGCCTGGCTTCGAGGTGCTCGCTTCACCGTCTTCGGGACGAATTTTCTCACATGAGGTAAAGAGGTTAATATATCGTAGTATCGAGGCCTCCGTACCCAAAAATAGGAGACCGGCACGGGAGAATAGAGAGGGAGTGCGCAAAGACTCAGCTTGCTGGGTTGAAGGTCCCGGGTTTCGATTCCCGTGTTGGGTCCCTCAATATTTTTCCGTCGTCGGTTCCTACAATACTGAAGCTTGAAACAACTATGATTGTTTCACGTGTCCCACTTGAATACTCGAACAAAGATTCATCTTAATTCAGCATCCGTTAAAGACACGATCAGTAGAATAAGAAATTAAAAAAGAAGAATAATTCCATCGTGAAAGGTTTAAAGAAAAACACTTTGCAAGGTAAACAGATTGGGAATTTGATATTTCCACGAATAGCAGCAACAAATGTCAAATTTGCTAACTAACTTCCATTCATGAGTCCGGAAGCAATGGAATTGACTTATGTTAACAACAATGACCATATTTACCTGTTCCCAGTTGCAATTACATTGCCGTTATTAGTCCCGTTTATTTCATTCGACGAACTCCCAGAAAGAACATACAGAGTCTCGTTCAGAAATATTTGAACCACTCAGAATACAAAATAATTAACTCCACTTTTTCATATCTTTTCAATTTTATCACAGTATCAAAACACACGCTGAACACTTAATTCCTTTTCTGTAAATAAAAGAAAATTAATAAATTCCATTTGATACCGTCAATCACGTTAGCTTCTAAGTTAACGAATTAGGCTCGTTTCCCGAATAAACGCATCAATACGCGCGCGTACAACTCTTCCAGGGAGAAATGATCGTCGAGAAACGAGAGAGAAGCAATTTGCCAGAGAAGAAAAAGCGTTCGACGAGCACATAGTGAAGAAACGACGCGTACCGTTTAGAGAGACGATAACAACCCTCTCGTAACTACCGCGAAAAAAAAAACAACAAAAAAAGGAACCATAAATTATGCATCGCCCTTGGCCGTTAGTATCGCGCGGTTGTTCTTCGATAAATTAACAGTTACTCGCATTATGTTTCCGCGTTGCGATCGTTCAGACGGTTTATTTGCCGAGCGTTTACCATAGAGGCGATAAACGGATCGATCCGCGTAAATCAGCAAGGAGGGAAGCCCCGTAGAAATGCCGCTGTAATGGCTGTATGGGACTATCTTGGCGTTTTAGAAAGCTCCTTTTTTCCTTATCGTTTCTCTTCCGCCAACGACACTTTTACGAGCCCTAAATCCAGCCGGGACACCGGAGAGAATTAATCGGCGATCGTTGGCCGAGTATTCGATATCCTTGAAGGTTAGATCGATCCCAACCCTTCTTCGAGAGAGTATTTTCTCCGATCTGTGGAATGCAATTTTGTCTACATTTTTCGGGATTTTTTTTCGAAGGAACCGTAACACTTTTTTCGATGAATTTTGGCACACGTGTTTAGGAACGTTTGAAATGAACGTGTTATTTTTTTGAAGGGAAAATAGTAGAAATTACAGGAGCTCTGTTTGTCTTGAGGAAGTTGAAAGGAAGAGAACGTGTCTTGTCGATGAGCATGATTCCGGCCGTTCTGTTAATCTGACACGAGAAAAGTGAAATAGCGTGTTGATTAGTATGAATGTGGCTATCGTTGGAACCTCGAATGAATGAAAAAGCTTGATAATTAAAGGAATGGCGGTACTTTGAACTTTGAGTATTGATTTTTTCGTATTTTTTTAGTCTACAGTATACTGAAACACTATGAAAAAATCGATATTTTTTGGAAAACCGAGGTTTGTGCGATAACGACACGTCTGCTGAAGATTCTGTCCAAATTTGAAGTTAATTAGTGAAATAGAACTTGAGGTATCGTGTACAGAAGTTGAAAGAATGAGGTTTCGAACTGAAAAACTGCGAAAAAATGTGCTCTTCGAACAGCTGTAACTTTGTAAATTTTACAAATTCGAGCAAATCCTGTTGCAGGCATATTTTCGAAGGTATATACTTGAAGAAAATGAATAAAAAATGCAAATTCCTCCGTTATTATCGAATGATATTCGAACCATGACTTCACATGCAATTAGCAAGGTTTCGTTTAACGTCTGAATAAATTTAAGCGTATTAAATTACACGGAATTTATGCAATTTGTGGGAACGAATGAGTAAAAGTTCGGTTAGATTCGGTTGATGTGCTGTACTGAAGCAATCGTGTGTTTATTTGTGATACGTTTCGTTGTACATATCTCTCTGTAAAGTTGTAATTTATACGGAAAGGGACACTTATTACAATGGGTGTTTACTTGCAATTTGTACTTCCAATAAACGTGGGTGATTGAGGATTCCGTTTTGATTGAGGACACACTGTTGCTCGCGTTTGTTATTTATTTGCAGAAGGGGGCAATTACCTTTGCTGTAATATCGCTACAACTGCCGGCGCAAGACAAACTAATTTTATGTTTAACGTTGCTGTTACTATGATTGGCGAATGTGCAAACAAATTTCGGAACTGTTATACGTGTATGTTAGAAAAGTTTCTCTCGTGAATTCTCTTCTTAGAAATTTATAAATTCTACAAATATCCATTTTTATGAAATATCTTAATTAATAAGATTATTAACACTGAAACAAGCAAACCTGTCCAAATGGCGGATTTCAAGATTTCTTACTTTAAAGTAAAAATATTTATTAAGCCGAAATTATTAAGATGCTTTTGTCTAAGTGCATGGTGACCTCAAGGTCTCAAAAATGAAGTTCTAGTGTTGGACATTAGAGGTCTGAAGAGTGAAGTTTCAATGTTGGACACTGGAGGTCTCAAGAGTGAAGTTTTAGTGTTAGACACTAGAGGTCTCAAGAGTGAAGTTCTAGTGTTGGACACCAGAGACCTCAAGAGTGAAGTTCTAATGTTAGACACTAGAGGTCTCAAGAGTGAAGTTCTAGTGTTGGACACCAGAGGTCTCAAGAGTGAAGTTCTAGTGTTGGACACTAGAGGTCTCAAGAGTGAAGTTTCAGTGTTGGACATTAGAAACCTTAAGAGTGAACATAACCACCTCTAAATCGTATTTGCCATCTTACAAATTCCTCCAAAAATACTAGTATAGAGACAAGACTTCGACACTCTACATTACAAATAATCCAATCGAATTTCTCAACGATAAGAAAAAGAAAATATTGATACAGTCTAAAAGTATCTTCGGAAATCTTTCTCACACTTTCCTTCCCCTCTTATTTCTGTATTATCTCTCCTCATACGATGAATAGGATTTACAGACGATCTATCGTCGAAGACAGAAAAATCGCGAACGTTCAATTTTCGAACGGGCAAGTCCGACCATAACGTTTGTCGGATTTGCCGAAGCAATATTGCCCGATGAAAAGGGATTTCTCTTTTCCCGAGAAGACGGAGGTGGTGAAGGGGGGACACTAGGAACCGATGAATCAGACTGTTCGAACAGCCTTTGATGCGATCGCTTTGAACTTTTCACCGAGAGAGAGAAGCGCGTTAATGTTTGTCAGTGATTCTTCTTTCTTTTTTTCTCTCTCTCGAACTCGCCTGTTAGACGCGCGGTTACTTATCGGTATCGGTGATGGACCGTTGAAATCACTATGTTGGACACCTGTTACGCAATCCTCCTGAAAGAGAAAGCAGCCTGCACGACAGCGACGAATAGAATCTTGTCATCGTGTCTGTCGCGACGTCGTGAATCTTGCAAACTGTAAATCGTTATTCGCGACAGATGAGACTTTGGCGAAGAGAGTTCGTTCGTTTCTTACGTCTTGTTTCTCCTTCTTTTATATTCACGTTTTAATAACTGTCTTGTATGCACACGTGTGATTTTACAATTTCCTCCTCGAAGAGTAGTCTGCGACGATCTCTGGTATCGATACCATGTTTGAAATTTATTTTTTAATTCCATAGTTATTACGATATTCTTTATTTTTGTCGAATTAAGGTAATCAGTGGATCGGTGTTATATTTGGGAATGAATTTATCGAACTTCTCTGCGATATATCAATGAACCATTTCCAATGCTTCACCTTTATCACTGTACAGTGTATTCTCAATTTTGTAACGTAGGTATCGTACAATTTTTCAGAAAATAAATTCAAAGTTGTATTTTACACGACGTACTAGAATAAGTGGCTTAATTTAGTACAAAAGTTCACTCTTTTCTTATTTTCTGCCTTTGTGTGTATTACCAGTACGTAAAGGGTAGTAATTTTCACGTTGTTTCCACAATAAAGTGAAAACAGGCATTTTCTCCCAACCTGTTATACGTTTTACCAGCAGATATACCTAACTCTCGCGATATATTCAAAGTGGCTGTTTAATTTATGTAAATCTAAAACGTGGCTACTTGTTGCTACTAACGATGAACCATTAAAATCACCATGTTGAACATCTATTATGCAATTATCGGCGAAGAGAAAGCAGGTTCGATAAAAACAAGCGAGTGTCTACGGATGGAACATAGCGATTGTGCGCCGGTCGAATCTTGTAACGGCGGCCGTTCATCGCGATAAACTGAAACTCCGTAGAGAACGACGACGACTTGTCAAAGAGCAAACGAATAGATTTGTAAGAAGATGATCAGTTGTAGCGATACGAGTGCCTAGCTACGCTACACCGCCAAGTGTACTTATCACTTTCGTTCTTGCAGGGCTTCTTCAGGAGGAGCATTCAAAAGCAGATTGAGTACAGGTGCCTGAAGGACGGCAACTGTCTGGTCATCAGAATAAGTCGGAACCGCTGCCAGTACTGCAGATTCAAGAAGTGCCTAGCTGTCGGCATGTCCAGGGACTGTAAGTAATCGCTCAGTTTTCGTTAACTCACTTACGATGACGTGAAATACGCGTGAAATGCAAAACCTTGGAAAATTTTGTCAGTATTCTCGTTTGCTTCGAAGAAAGATAACTTTGCCAAGATTTACAATTGTTTTGGAAAAAAATAATTTTGTCAAGATTTTCTATTGCTTCGAAAGAAGGGAATTTTATCAAGATTTTCTGTTGCTTTGAAAAAAGAAAATTCTCTGATAAATATTTTAAAATCTTTTTCTGCAAATATTTCAATGTAAAACAATGGATAGATACTCTGATTGAGGGTACAATATCAGCGCAATAGTGGCCTAACCTCAAAATACTTGTTTTTGAGGTTATGTCTAAGAAATGATTAACGTTTAAAATATTTTTTCAAATTTCTATTTTTAGTTTTTGTTTTAAAGGTTGCTTATGTTACTCTATCGTTAAGTCACTGAAATATCAATTCGCCGAAAATTATAGGTTAGGTCACTATCGCATTGATAGCCAATTCTATTCTATTTCAATGGATTAAATTTCATTTGAATAAAAATAGCCCCAATTAAATCTGTTAAATCAATATCCTACGCCGATACGAAACACAATATTGTTCATATAAACGATCGTGCATATAATATCTACACGCACCACAATTTTATCGATACCTTGCATATATTATAATAATTGACTTGAGTACACGTTAAATAATCGTTTAACATGCATAGAACGAGATAACGCTTGTATATACGATAATGGAAATTGATCGACAGATCGCTATCTAATTAATTATAAATTTTCTCTCATTTTTATCGTTCAATATCTCCGTGATTTGTTGTTTCAAACGTGGAGCTTTTAACAGGGACAAAGAAGTAGGTGATTTAAATGCGCAGCAGCAGGCGCAAATTATTAAACCTTACCTTGGAAACAAGGACGCCATTGTTACAATTAGTAATCTTCAGAAGCTTTTTCTCAGAACGTGTTATACGCCATTACGTGGCACAATTTCATAAAAATTTCTCACTTCAGAGAGAAGATTTAAATTGCACTATGTCTTTCGTTTAACATGAAATGTTCCCGAGGGATACTCTCCTGCCTAGAAATTTCACGCGATAATTACTACCATTATTATTAATTATATCAAACAACGATCATTTTTATTCAATTTGTGAGCATCAAAGTTAAAGAAAATTTCTCAGTTCTTCGACTTTTCTCCCTCGGCGAAAGTTGCTTCTTATAGGTCGAAATTTATTCGGTGTTCAAACTAAGCACAACTCTTTTCGCTCGATGGCAATAAACGGCGCGGCGCGGCGTCTTTCAGTTTCACGGAATTTCCGGCGTTCGTCGAGCAGCGAGAGGATAAAGTAAACCGAAACGAAGTTGCGTGCATAATTAACCGTCAAAGTTCCATCGCGCAATATGCAGCAGTGTATAATAGGCAACCGTCGGTGGTTCCTGGCGGCGTATTGTTGGCGAAATCGTAATAAGCCCCTGTGCTAGTCTTGTGATCCGCTTAAGAAGCGGATGTAACTGGGGGTAAAGCTGGTCGAAAGCTCCGCTCCCTCTGTTGTCCAGCGTAATTCTCTCAAACACCGTGTAAAATATTAATCTTTTGTAAATACGGTTATTTTCGGGAAACTGGCTGTTGAATGAACAGCGTAGCGTTCGAAACGTCGAAATGTAGTCAAATTTATATTACAAATAGGGAAGTAATATTAGGTTGTACAATATGAAATATCAAATTTCTAATCATTCGCAAATTCATCTCTCGAACCATTAATCGAGCGTTGGAAAATTCTTAACTCGTTCTCTGTTTTGCTCAAAATAACATTTAAATAAGAGAAAATTTAGGGGGTGATTCTAGAAGCCGATACAAAACGAAAATGAAGAATAAAAAAATTGCGTTCGAAGCTTCGTTCTTCAGTTATTAACGTTTGGAAATATCCCCGTAGCCAGGCAAACCTCCTTACACCGGTGAACATAGGGCGTGTCGAGATACAAGGAGAGTACAGTGGTCCTCAAAACCAACGACACACGGTGCCGAATGTCACTGACATCTTCTCTACACGTATCAGATACGGTGCCGGCCATGTATCGTTAATTTTCAGGACCCCTGTGCTTGACGCGTCCTATATTCGTTGGTGTATGAAGATTTGCCTGGTTACGGGGATATTTTCAAACGTTAATAACTAAAGAACGAAGCTTCGAACGCAAATTTTTTATTCTTCATTTTCGTCTTATATCAGCCTCTAGAATCACTCTAGAACACTCTTAAAAATACCAGACACCGAACACTTTCTTCGTTTCAGCTGTGAGATACGGCAGGGTGCCGAAACGTTCGAGGGAACGCGGCCCCGAAGACGCGGTACCGACCACCACGACAACCACCGCCACCACCGGTGTACAGCAACTAACTTCTCCCGCTGGTACCAACAATAACAACAACAACACCAGCAATAACAACAACAACACCAGCAGTCAAAACAACAATAACAACAGCCAGGCCCAGAACGCTATACCTTGCGTTCCTCCGGCCGCGGTGGTCGAAGCGGATCAGTCAGACGCGGACGTGAAACAGTTGGCCGTGTACGACGTGATACTTCAAGTTTCTCAGGCGCACCACGCTCACTGCGGTTTCACCGAGGAATCAACCAGGGGCATCGTCCGGAAACCGATGATAATACCGGTGAGTTCGCTGGAAATTTTCGGCTAGACGATGTTAGACGAGTCGCGTTATGCTGTTAGCAGCGGATACGACGTGTAGAGAAATTAGCATATACAGGATGTCTCGTTTATAATGAACATTCGAACTGTTTTCGATGGTATTGGAAGTAGGCAAAAAATGTCTGAAATTACTATAAGAGGAGCTTGTATGGTTTGTAGACGTACATTTAACGACGATAAAAGGAAAGGATCTCCCCTAAAAATTATCGTGAACGAAGATGATTTCTTCTTACTTTCAACAACCAGCAGAAGTAACATAGATGTTACATAAGAAACACCCTGTGTGTGCAGTTAGAAAAGCATCTGATTACTTGTAGTTACAACCTCGTTGTTTGAGTACAATGCGGAGAAAGTTGCTGCGTTCTAAGGGGGTAGATTCGTGGCGTCTGATAGTAGAAGGTGTTCCAAATGTGAAATTTGGAATTTCCTTGTTGTAGTTTGGGATTTTACGAAGTTGCTGCGTTCTAAAGGGGGTAGATTCGTGGCGACTGATAGTAGAAGGTGTTCCAAATGTGAAATTTGGAATTTCCTTGTTGTAGTTTGGGATTTTACCAGAGAGAACAATTGGGTAGATGCTCTCTTTTGAAAGTGTAGAAATAGGATAAATTTGCTGCAGTTTACCTTTGTTTCATTCGAATATCAGAAACTTTTGAGGAAAGTATTTTTTCTGCCTAAAATAAGAAAATGAATGGTTTTGTGTAGTGTCGTATCCACTTCTAACGATTTAGTTAAAAAACAAAAATTAGGGCGCAATGAGAAACTCGAAACTGGAACTGGCAGCAACGCCTGTTTCTTTTTATAATCCTGCTGATTAGGCGAGTACTTCTTCGCAGCCCGCCAGTCCAGAGGACCCAGAGGCGGCATCCTCAACAGCAGAAACAGTTGAATCGCAAAGGATCTGGCTTTGGCAACAGTTCGCCACCAGAGTAACGCCGTCGGTGCAAAGGGTGGTGGAGTTTGCCAAAAGGGTGCCAGGATTTTGCGATCTTTCGCAGGACGATCAGCTGATCCTGATTAAGGTCGGTTTCTTTGAGGTCTGGCTAAGCCATATCTCAAAGATGACCACTGACAGTTCGATGACATTCGAGGATGGTACTTATATCACTAGGCAACAAATGGAATTGATGTACGAGGTAAGGATTCTCTTACTATTTTCATCGTCGATCTTACGTTACAACTCTGTCTCTCCCTCTCTCTCTCGACAGATAAACTCGACGTGAAAAAGGGTATAAATATTTGTTTACGGATATAGAAACAGAGATACAAGCATAGTAGAAGCTTTGAATATTTGAAAATCGAATCAGGATGTAAATGGGATTAAATCTCACTTTGTCAAGTTTTTCTCTCTGGCTGAAAAATACTTTTATCCTCTTTTTCATATCCAGATTTTTAACATGCTTCGAGAAATATTTTAAGTCATTCTTGCCTTGCGAATTTTCTTCGTTCTTTCATTTCTCTCAATTATACTTACATTTCTTCTTATAAAGAAGTGAAAACGTGTATGAAAAGACACACATTGAAGAAAAGATCTATAGGAATATCAATTCTAAACGATCTATTTCATGATTAGATTAAAAAGATTACACGGCAGTTTGACAATCCACTAATCGATCGATACGAAACAAAACAGCCAGACTTTGTGTCCGCTTTGATGCAATTCACATCGGCCCTAAACGCCCACCAATTGACGGACACCGAGTTAGGCCTTTTCTCCGGTGCCGTTCTTCTCGGTGAGAGGCCAGGCCTGAACGACGTGAAAGCGGTGCAGAGGCTTCAGGATCGTCTTCTGGAAGCACTGAAGGTACAAGCGTTACGGAATCACACGGTTTCCGGCGAGGCTACCTCCGCAGGCGGCTGTTCCGGCGTCTCGAGCGTCTCACAAAGGATACCAGAATTAAGGGCCCTGGGTGCCAGACACGCGAATCTCCTCGATTGGTTCAGGAGGAACTGGACCAAACTCAAGTTGCCACCCCTGTTTGCCGAGATATTCGACATTCCCAAGTGCGAGGAAGATCTTCAGTGAAGAGGTGATCAATCACATCATTTTTTATCATTTTTATTTAATAATTGTTTCAAATTACTTAACACATTCGATGCTACGACCATGAAATTCTTTAACCCCTTCACTTATGACTACTTTACCGACACTTCGTGTAAATGCAAGCTATTTATTATTTTAATACTGTATCAAGTAAGAAAAGCTGATATATTATAGGTACATCCTTTACAATTTCATAATTCTCAGTCTTATAAATTAAAAAGTAATTTTTATTACGGATGTGTAACTGTTTCTATCACGCCTTCACAAGAATCTGTACCATAGGTATGACTTGTTGTCATATGGCAAGGGGTTATATCGAATCAATTTTTTTTATCAAGAATTCGTTCTCGCGTGGTCATAATTGAAAAAAGAATTTTGTGCAGTAGTGATAGTTATTTTAACAAACTATTACTTGATATATCTTGATATATCTTGCAATAAAGATACTTCTGATAAAAAATTTGCAGCCCCTGAGATAGGGCAACCGTACTTCAGTAGTAGCGAATGTGTTAACGAAAAACTGATGGATGCAATTTTTAAATTAGAAAATTATTAAAATTACTTTTATGTAAATGAGAAGAAATCAAAGAAGAATACTTTCTATAATTTTAGTAAACTTTATTTTAGCATAATTATAATATAGACACAGTTTATTTTACTTTTTAAAATCGCCTCGTATAAAACAGAAGTAATGGAGTTCGTCGAAGAGTTAGAACTGCATAATCCAGTTGATAATAGAGACTTGGAGCTTCCGTGATTAAAATCCTCGCGATTGAAGTTATTAAAAGTTTCTAAATGTAAGCCATGAGGCCATCCAGAAGTTCTACATTTTAATCAGCATAACGATCAGCTTCTTCGAAGATACTTAAATACATTAATATCCCTAACCAAACTAACAAGAAGCGGAAAATTAACGAAATAAAAATTCTGTTACACAAAATTAAAAATTATTATCGAAAAGAAAAAGAAAAAAATTTTTAAAAACAACTTCGATTTTCGAATCAATTTGAATCTCGTCACTTTCAAAATCGTACCCTATAAATCCTCAGTTCGTATTTTCATCCATCTCCACCCCATAGAAATCCACTTCAATTTACAATTCAATCCGACGGTAAAGAAGGTAAAGAAGTCTAATCGGGGGATCGTCTTTGAAGAATGTTTCAGAGTACATCGAGTTAATTCGACGAAAACGAATGGCCCTGCCAGGGATAGAGGGAGAGAATCTTTCTAATAGCCGGCGCTCATCGCACAAACGTGGCTTCTCGAACCTCGAGAACGATTTGTTTTCGCGTGAGAATCGCTGCGATCTGGCACAATATGGCGGCTCAATCACGCCACCACAGCGATTCCGTCGTGTGCTGTTCGCCTCATTGACGTACGGGCGGGAAGATGGATCGTTTCGAGGCGAAGGGTACAGATTGCTGATCGAAACACACTTGGCACGATATACGAGGAGGAGATAGTTTGCTGGATTAACTTTGAGGATAGAATGAATCGTACAATGTGGATAATCGACGATTGAATCGGTCGGTAATGACGAATAAGTCGATGATTTATATTTGAGCTAAACGGATAACTTTTAAAAAGTTACTTAGGTTTAAAACAAAATACTCTTTCTTTGAAATAATTACGAAAGAAAAAGAAGAAGGAAAAAAGAGAAAAAGGATAAAAAAACCCTCCTTCGATTGTTCTAAATCGTGCAAGGGTGCAATTAGAAACGGTGTATTTGAAATAGAGCAGAAGGGATTTGTACCATTCGCTACGTATGCAATATGGCGTGCCACTCCAAATGGAAGCATTTAAATACTCAGTCGGTGAGGAAGGGAATAAAGAAGTTTCGTGTGTAACATTGGTCCCGCGCATATCGTTGATTGCAATAAAGCGGCGCAGTGATCGAACACGCGTCGCGTTGAAAAGATAGCACAAAATCGTGATCAATTTACAGGCACGTTTATTATTACGGTTTATTTAGCTAAAAAACGAAAAGAAAAGAAAAGAAAAATTCTCCAGCGAACCTTTCAAAACCTTGACACTTAAACCAAGGATCGTGTAGCGTTTAAAACAGACGAACAGAAAGTGTGCGGCATTCTTTCGAGGTACAGTGATCGAAATCTCGCGGATATTCTGTACAGGATGCAACGTCGTACTCGTAGACATATCGAAAGCATAATATCGTATTTTTTTCATGCAATCAGCCCGAAAACAATCTTTCCATCCTCGATGTAATGATGATCTCTGTGCATCGATAGATGGCTGCACGCTCGCAGATAAAAAAAAGAAAAGAAGTAAATATGGTGGTACGTACATGCGCTTAACACGAAAGTAGCAAAAGGTGCACACTTGTCGCGGTTGCAACGCGTGGACTGCTGCATGTGCGTACGAACACTGACACTTATACACTTATACAGATATACAAAGTAAAAAATAAAAGTTTCACGCTATATAAAAGCTCAAGAGGAAATCTTTATAGGACGTATCTATCTAGATGCATCCGCTACGAATCTCAATCTATGCAATCTCTATTTTTATTACTTGACAAGTAGTATAGTGAATTACCTTTATAGATATTGTTGCATCGCTTCAGGGTGTTCCGCGGAAACGGAGAATAACGTGTTTGAACGAAGCTGTTCTTTTGTTGAAACTCCTTACGAATTATCGGTGTGCGGATTTTTAATGGAAGATATTTCATGTACGTAACGAGAAAATGAGGAAAAAAGGGAAGAGAGTTAACCGTTGTGTATCATATATAATGTACTTGTTGCGTTAAACTGTTGTATTTGTTATTGATCTACGGCCGAAAATCGTTTTCCGATTGTTAATGAAGTCCTGAAGTGAGCATGTTTGAATCTTCGAACTCTTGAACACTAATAATTCTCTGACAATGACTAGCATGTAATGTGTATCGATATGTAATTAATATACATATACATATGTATATGTATAGTGGTGTGTAGAAGAAAATTTAAAAACCTATATAATTACAAAAAAAGAAGCTATAATTTATTAAAGAAGAACTATATTTTATATTAGTAATTAATGTATCGCGAAGAAACAATGAAAACAGTAATTATTTGTACAAAGATAAAAAGATGTATTTTATTTTAAAAATAGAAGAAAATGAAATATTTAACTGAACAAAAGGAAGTTTGAATTCAGCAATTTCATTGAATTTTAGATTTAAATTGTTTCTCGTTTAATAAATTGTTATTATTGGATCATTTTTTATTTTACACATTTCGTATATCTTTTTCTGCAAACAATATCCCAGCTTTTGCAATAATATATGTAACAGTAGTAACCATTGAAATTATTACTTATAAATTTCATATTTTACTAACTTATTGTTAGGTATGTGATTTTAGGCTAGTATTAAAGTCATAATTAGACAATGTATAAAAATATCAATTTTAAACTTTCTTTAAGCCACCACTGTACATATTCTATATTCATTGTGAGAAATGGGGAAAATGTAAGTTTATCTACTAGAGAAATTAATGTTTTATCTAGCGTCGTACTTAAATTAAATATAATATAACGTCGGTATATCACTGTCGCTAAAAAAGAAGGGAAGAAATTGTGGAAAAAGACTAGCTTCACGATACTAGAAGGAAGAAAGAATTCCAACTCTAAGCGCTCACATCAAGTTGTGAATAAACATATCATACCTAATTAATATATTGAACAAAGAAGGGATATCATCGTTTAATATAATATAAA